ATATATATATATATATATATATATATATATATATATATATATATATATATATATATATATATATATATATATATATATATATATATATATACTATTAGTTCTTTTACTTTTAAGGATATTTTAACATTTTCAGGAATAAAAAAAGGTCATATGCTTTATTTTAAAGCCCGTATTATCGAATCATCCTTTCGATCAGTCTCTCTCCTCTATTTTTTTTTTCTTTCGTCATTTTTTTCTTGTTGTCTCTCTTATTATCTCTCGTCACTGTTTATAATTTATCGCCAGCATTCTCTTTGTTTTATTACAGTCATTTTTTTGTTATCACATGTAATATGTTAATCTATTTTTTTATCTTTGGTGAGTGTATTGTGATACAAATAATATATATTAGTTTTAAATTATACCATTCGATATAATAAAAATTTCTTCTTGATAGGGCACATTCTAGTATCGCCCTAGTAGATGGTGGAGCCTCGGGACTAAGATAGAGCATCACATCGGATGTGCCACCTCGAACTTGGGAAGATGGTTGCCCCTTCCTACATTGTCCGAAGCCGCACAGGACAGCGTCGTACGATTGAAGGCTGCTTTGAAAAGCTCAGAACGACGTCGCATGACACCATCTTGTGCATCTCGGTTGGCGATCGCCGAAAGGTACATTCCAATCACCCAAGAAGTTGGTCATCGTCGTTGGATTGCGTACGACCAACCCTCGAACGTAAGCATAAAAGCCGCCTGACCAGCATCAGGTGGGGGGAACAATCTTTTTACAGAAACTTCACTTCATACTTACTTAACCTTTGGAGCAGCCAAGTTGGGAAACCCCTCCCCTCCCGACCTAGTCCCGTGTGCAGGAGTTTGGCGATGACAAAGCAGACAATGTGTCGATCAAAGAATTACGTACGGAGCTAACCCGAAGCTTAACTGACTCGACGAAGGCCTCGTGACAGGGACGATCCTGAACAATCGGCAATTGAACTAAGTCGAGCTAATACCTCGGCCTCGGCTAGAGAAGTCCATTAACACTTCTATTTTTTAAACCTATTTTTCCTATAAAACCATCTCTCTGAAAATTAATTTTATGAAACTATTCTATAACAAAGCGACATTCACAACTATTCTTGGCTATGAATTTTTTGAAAATATTATTCTTATAAAAATAATTTATCTCTTTTATATAATAGATATACATAGATATATTTGTCCCAATAATCTAACTAGACCGTCTTTGATGCAGATATGATAGATATCTATGGTTAACGTTGCTTTCAATGGATACCAGCGGAGGGGCGTTGCAGACTATAATACATATGTATCTGATGCAGCAGTAGGAGCGGCGGCGAATGTCGATTCACGAGCATCACATCGATCCGAGAGTAGTAATCATTGACAGCACCAAGAGATCGCACCGCGGCCGCTCGTAAGGGTCGCGTGGCCCTTCGTTGCCCCCAACGGGCGTGGGCGCAGTGGAGCGCATGGCCGTCGCGTACGTACGACGACCCCAAGTCTGCATGGGCTGGTGACCCTTTGCTATCCTTAGCAGCTGATGGCGGGGGGGGGGGACCGGGGAACCCCCAACGAGATCCGTAGGACAGCAACGCGGAGGCGACCGTCGACTCCACGATGAGGAACACATGGGCGCCGTTTGCCCATGTACGAGGGACGGCCGTGAGCCATGGCGTCCGCTGGTCGGTGATCCACACGACATATGCGTGCGGCCGGGACGCGTACGGCTGCGTTCCGGAAGTCGAGGCATCCAACCCTCTCCTCCGCAGATCTATCTGAGCCCTGTCGTCGGACGAGATCCATAATATTTTGACAGTGAGTAAACATTATGATTGATTTATAAGAATCAGCTGAGTATATTATTATAAATCTAAGTTCAAGTATTTTAGATTAATGATTCATAGTCAGTGAGAGGTTGATTCATAGCAAGCTCATAATTATTTGTATGAATGTTATTTCTTTGATGAGCTCACATAGAAGTTTGTTGCAAAGACATACGAAGCATACTGTTTACTTCATATTTTCTAGCATATATATAGTTCGAACTTGCTTGCGGAATCACATAGGAGATTGACCAACGGATGTCTCACATCATAGTTAGGAAGACAAATTCAATGATATCAATAATGAAGCAATCATATGAGAGGGCTGTTCTTTGATAGCTCAGTACTTAAGTATATACATAAGTATGTATCACATCATAGTTAGGAAGTCATATTTTTATGAGCACCTTTTTTATTTATATATGTCTATAATTCGATTAGTCTCACATTGCTGATAGGGTATACATTGCATATTATAAGATAACAAAATAAAATAATAATAAAAATATCATTAGTATGTTTTGTTTAGTAAGGAAATCAATAACTTATAAACATCATATTTACTCTCAAAAAGGTAAAATCATAGAGAATTTCTTTCAAATCTTCATATTTAAACTATCAAAGTCGTTCTTTACCTTTAAAGATATCTTTCGAAGATTATCATTTATTTTTAATTAATTTAATAGTATTTTGAATCTTCTGAGATGACTCGTTGACTTAAATATTGGAGAGGTTTTATTAAGTTTTTTAAGGTTTCTATTCGACTAGACAAGCATAATCTTGATTAATACGATTCAAACTTACAATTTACTCTAACATCATGATAAATATTTTTGATTGGATAATAATAAATGTTTAAGGCTTGAGTTATTAGAAAGAATGCATACACTGCACCCTTAAGGCTACATGGGAAAGGATTGAACCCGGAGATACAATAACTTGTTCTTTAGCAACGAAAATAAGAGGATTCTTGTCAAGTCCAAATCAAAAACAGCCCCAACCAGTAGTTAATTTGATGTTTAGGTGCTTTAGATCTTGCTCTCGGATTCTTGTCAACTCTAATCAACAGGATCAAACTAGTTCACAACAGGCCTGCAGATCCAAGATGAGCTGGAGATTCCCGAGGAACTGTGATGACACATGGCTAACGGAATCCAAATGTGTGCCAAGAAGATACCGGCAGACGAACACCCCGAACTAGAGGAGATTCCCTTTTGTATCTTTTCATAGATAGCTGCTCCGTGACATGGTTTATGATTTCCAACTTCAAGTACATGTAATTGGCCAATACAAACTGCACTTGTAGGTCCATAGCATACGAAGAACCATCGAGATAGCAAACTGGATTTGTTCATGGAAGAAGTTGGTCTTGAAACTGTTAGAACGTACGATTTCATAAATGGATATTAATTTTTTGGCTTTGTTACATCTCCCTTATGAATTGTTATGATTTCTCGATTACAAAGGTCATATTTTCTTGATGAAGTGAGATATCTTTAGTTTAATCCCATATTGAAATTACTAGAAAAATTAAGCTGGTTCATAAGAACTTGATTGATTTTAGGTTTTTAATGCTCAAGCATGATCATAAAAAAAATATTATCTATTATGGACTTAGTTGGTTTATCACGATCGATAAATAGTTATTTCGACAAATAGATAATATAAATTCACTGTATTCTTGTGCAACAGTATCTTATGAGAAATTTTGATTATATAAAGGTATGATAGCCAAATATAAGGAATTCAAAATCTATTTTGTTCTAACAAGGACAGTCCAACTCAAGGCCTAACACAAGACTTACATGGATCTTCTTGTGCTGGATCCACTTAGAACATGCCATGCCTACAAGGCTTAGGGTCATTGGCAAGCTAGTTTTCCTTTGGTCTTGATAAGAGTTCATTACGAGAATTGGGTACCGTAAAGAGATTATTAGATGCAAGAGATCTTATGTAGGTATCACTGGTTGGAGTTGCTGCCATAGGAATTAGCTCTGCTCATTTCTTGTAGGGTTTCCATGACCCCTGTGATTGATCTGGACTCTCCAGTACTATAATTTACATTCACACAAGTCTAAACTTGAACCAAACTTAATTTGTCACTACATTCTATCAAAGTTTACTCATATAAGATTAATTTTTAGTCTCTCTTTGATATCCTCCTAACGAGATCTATAATTTACAAGCGTTGATATGGTCATTCTCTGACTCATCCCACAAATAATATCACAATTATTGAGAGAAAACACCAGATTAGTGACTGCAAGCCTTTCCATAATAACAAGAACGTACATGGCGGCACATTGTGGGAAGGAGAAGGAAGATCATATGACATGCATCGGAGTATCCTACTGAGATCATCATTTGAAGTCCGAAGGTAACGAAGAGTGCTGCAGGAGGACAACACAAGGCTTAGCGTTGAGGGCAGAAGGTGATGAGGTAGCTGGCGCCGGTGCAGGTGAGGATGCTCGTGGGGTCGTCGAAGGCGTACGAGTACGCGCGCGGGCACGCCGCCTTGAACAGCCTCGAGTACGCCGTCGGCTTGCACTGCTGCGGGCCGCCGAAGCTGCCGGTGCAGCAGTACCGGGGGGAGCCGAAGGCGGAACAGGCGCTCTTGCAGGCCACCACCCGATGGTCGCTGCCGGCGCGCACCGCCAGGCCTGCCGGGCACACCTCGTTCAGGTCGCTGACGCACCCGGCGCGCCCGCACTGGCCGCTCCCCCGGAACGGGGCCATGGACATGCCCAGGTTGTAGCCGTCCACAAGGCTGACGTCGTAGAAGTCCTGCTGCCGCCCCTCCCCGAGCGTGATCTCCGCGAGGGTGGCCGGGGGCTCTCCCCCGATGCCGTTACAGTAGAGAACGCCGCCGCAGTCGCCAGTGGCGCACCGGCCGCGCCCGGTGGCCGGGTCGAAGGAGCAGCCCTGGCGGCCCCAGACGCGGCCGGACCACCCCTCGGGAAGGCGGAGGGAGTAGGCCTGACTGGGGAGAAGCTGGAAACCGCCGCGGGCCAGAACGGCCTTGCCGGCGCTCGGCTGGATACCCGGCCACACGGTCTCCCTGCACTTATTGTAGAAAGCTAGCGTGGCGGCCGACGACGGACCGGCAATGGCGAGAGTTAAGAACAAGAGCACTACAACCGAGAGCCTTCTCAACCCGGAGTACCCCATCTTCACTCTCCTCCCAACGACTATTCACACTAAAAGGTGCGATGGCAGACGAAAGACTGCAGTGAATGGGAATGCAAGTGAGACAATGGCAGCTGCTCGAGGAAGAGTGTTGTCAGAGAGACGTATATTATGGTGTGGTGAGCGTGCCAGCTACAGACGAATGGAAGAAGAACAGATTGGGAGCTCACGTGATCGAACGCTTCCAAGCCCCCCATCACAACGGATGTAAAATAGCTTTGGAACGGGCACCGTCGCCGAGGCTGCAAAGGAGATGGTGGATTCTGACACTGGGCCGAGAAAAGAAAAGGGAAGCACATCAAGTAGCAACAGGGGAAGGGGTGGTCGCCACGTGACTGGCAGAGATTCTCTCGGCAAGGTTGTCGTCTTGTCTACTCTCTGTAAAAGTTCTGCTGCAGCTGTGTCATCTCGTGGGAGGTAGTGAGAGAAGTGTTCTTTCCTGCTTCCTTCCTTCCTCCTGAACAGTTTAACATCACCTGCCATGAATCAGAAGGCAAAGCAGGCGGCTATGTATATACCCGAGAGATCAGCCAAAACTGAAGGAGAAGACCTTTGCAAAGCGTTCTCGTACGTTGCCATGGAATCCGGGACCATGGACAGCTGCAACAAACCCGTCCATTTACGCCATTGCATGTGATCTCAAGCTGTTCGTTCGTTCCTATGCACAAAGTACCGCATGCCTATTACTCACCTCTCGACGTACTTATGAATCATCAACTTATACGTCAAGGAACGCACAGGCTATCAAATCAACAATGGTAAATGTTTGCGAGGGACATGAATCAAAGTTGTGCCAACTCCGTCGCAGTTCAAGTACAAGGAACCTCTGTTATAACATTTGTGTAAAAATATTAAATCGTTAATCTAAATAAATATTTAGTAAAAATTATAAAAAAAAATAATTATAAAGGATAAAAAATGTTCCAAATGTTAGATCTGGTCTCACCTACTTAGTTACTCGAGAGAGTTTTTTTTTTTTGTGTGTAAAGGATATATGAGGAATGTGAGATTCAAGTGATTCAATAATTTTTTCTTAATTTTGAGTTATAAGATATTAATTAAAAAATATAAAACTAATCATATCTTTTTTATATTATCAAAATTATTATATAATAATAACAATGATAAAATAATAAATCTCAACTATTTTGTATCGACTATATGGATCTTTTTATCGCTATTGAGATAGATAAAAATTCATATATTTAATTAAGATCTTTTTACATCTTCCTCGGACTCTTTTCATACTATTAATATTAATTATTTTTATTTTATTTTATTATCATATCTGAATATCTCTTAAGCATTGGTTATATCATCTTAAATGATTTTCTGTCTTATCCTATATTGAAATACTATCTAGTTATATAAAAATAAAATTATTTTTTTACTATCTTTTCTAATAACTTCACATATCTATCTCAATATTTTTATCTTTGTAATATAAACCTTTTATATATAATTATCCAATAATCATATCCATAAAGCATTATTAGCCTCATAATTATCTTATAAATTTTTTATCTTAATCTCTAAGATATCTGATAATCACACAAGAATCTTGACACTCATTACCATTTTAACTGTCATATTTTTACTTTATAAATAATATATTCATTTATCTTTCTATCTTATTAAGTAAGTGATCTAAGATATCTAAATTTTTTTCTTAAAGGAAATTCTTATCAATCCAATTAAACTATAATATCTTATCTATTTTTAGATTCACATAAACTATATTTTATATATTTAGTTTTACTTTTATTTAATCTAAAACATATAGTTTTTAAAACTTGTCTCAATAGCTCAAGTTTATAATTAATTTCATTTATGTTTTCATCAACTAAGATAATATCATCAGTAAATAATATATATTAGGGAGGTCTATAAGTGACTAGTAATTTCATCTATTAATAATATAAAAAGATAAAGACTTAATACATAATCTTAATATAATCCTATGCTAATAAGAAACTCACTAAATATTCTTCTTATAATTTGAACATTAGAAGCTATATTATCATATATATATATATCCTATTATAAACTTCATCTAAGTCAATAAGAATCAAATACAAATCATTTTTTTCTCCCTATATTTTCATTAATTATCTTAATAAGTAAATAACCTTAATGATTGATCTTTTAAGTATACAACCAAATTAATTTTCAGTAATATTTGTTTCAAGTCTTATCCCATTTTTGTTAACTCTTTTTCAAAGTTACATAATATGGCTCATTATTTTAATTATTTTGTAATTTGAATAATTTTGTATGTTACCCTGATTTTTTAAAATTAATATTAAAAAATTATTTCTCCATTCATCAAGTATTTTTTTGAATCTCATAATTTTATTAAATTAGTTTGTTAACTAAGCTACTCTTTTGTCCACTAATTTTTTTAGACCTCAATTGGGATATCATTTGACCTTACACTCTTAGTTATTTTTATCATTATTTATATGTCATTTTATGAAAAAATCTGTTATTATTAAATCTACTATCATTTATTTATTATTAAATCTAAGTCTTTTGTAGAATATTATTAAATAATTTATAAAATATTTTTTTTCATCTTTGTCTAATCTTATTATCATTAACAATTATTCTTTGATCTTTATTCTTAATGCATCTAATATTTATTCTTCTTATGATCATAGTGTTTATCAATTCTAATCTTTTCTCTACAAATATTCATATATTCCAAGTTACTAACTCATTTTTTTATTCTTAGATGAACTTTTTCACTCTCATTGGCTCAAAACAAACATTTGAGTACTGATATAATGGGTCACTTTTGGGCAACCTCCTATCCCATAACTTGTAATATGGGACACTTAGATAGTAAAAATGTCTCACATCATTTTCGGGTGATAATGTATTTGAAATTACTGTGAAATCAATTAAAATCTATGTTCATGAGATCGAACATAATTTTACATTGGTTATCAACAACTTAACATAACTCTCTATCATTTTCATCTAAGGTTGGGACAGTATTTACCAAAATCATTATATAGCCTTTAATTTTATAAATGTTTTGAGGAATAAAAACCAAGCATAAAAACAAAACAATCAAAATGATCATACAATTAAACTAAGAAGAAATAGGTGAAATGGGTATGATATTTAATTGAGTCAAAATGAATGTATCATGAAGATGAAGCTAGAAATTTTGAGTTTGTTCTCCTATAATTATAACAACTTCAGAATCCTCATCTAAAAACCTTGGCATAACCTATAAGTCAGTCATCTCTTGATGTTGTATAGAATGATAAAGTTAGGGAAGCATGACTTTTTATTTATGGTGCTCAAAGCACACAAATATATATATATATATATATATATATATATATATATAGTGATGTATGAAGGATAATCTTATTTTTATAATTAAAAAAAATTATAAATCAAGAATTCTTGATGATTGATTGATATGGTAGAAAATGATATTGTAGTGATGAGAGGATAATCTTCATAGAAACAATATAGCAATATGAATTAAGTTTGTTTTTGGATACAAAATAGGTGAATTTAATGTTCTTAATTAATAACATGAGTCTAATATGGGGTTTCATTGAACGAGTTAAGCACTCTGGATTAATATGGTAAAAAAAAATCCATCATCAACAATAATCGTCACAACCTGGAAATAATCAATGATATTGTTCCTGTTATTCTCCATCTAATCAATGGCCATTCTTTTCTTTTTATTCTGTCGAGTTAAAGACTGGAAAACAATATGCATATGCATGGAGAGCAGCACCTCACGAGTTGACGTGGTTGGATGTCAGCAATCGTTTTGAGCTTCGCGGTGACAAGCTCAGATCGAATAGAATGGCATAATCCCAGGAAGAAGCAGTCTTAGAGAAGTAAACATGCTTGAAATTGCTTTCTCCAAAGGTATTCAGATTGAGCATCATCAGATTCTATACCAAAAAAGAGAGTCATTGATGTCGATATCAAATACACAAGTGTATCATGCATTGATGTCGGAAGACAAATTGCTGGTGTCACCTGCTCATATAGAGAAAGAATTGCTTGCAGGGTTGCCATGGATATCATTCGAGAAGCTTGTTGCATGTCCCCACACCAACTGCTGCAGCAAGGTGCCAAGCAGCATGGATGTAAGGAGTTTCAGGGAAGAAATCATCAGCTACAAAAAGTGCCCCTCCCAGTAGAGAAGATAAGGTGTGCAGGTTATGTGCCATCCTCAACTCTGGTTTTATCAATGCCCTTCTGGCAAATGCCACCTGGAAATAGCCAGTGAGATCTACTTAGTTCATAATAATGCTAATTAGACTCGACGAAATTGCCTACTCGGCATGCTGGTGAATTCTGCTCAGTACAGAGCTGGTCTGATCGAAATTGGAATCCTTAGAATTTACATTCACAGAATATACTATGATAGGCAAATTAACGATCAGTATTTAATTTACCAATACCGAGACATAAAGTTTGATACTGTTCACTGCAATCTTTTTGCTTTTTTATCGAATAATTAGAATAAGTCAACATAGTGGTATCAATATCAGATTCATCTTGCAAAAACTTGTCACGGACTCATAGCAGAAATACCACAAGAGTGTTTCAACTTAATTACCTCCATCAACCCAGTGTGCATAGCTGAAACCATGAAAGGCTGAAATGGCAAGAGTATTGTAGATGCCGCCATCAGCAGTCTTGGATTTTCATTTCTGACTGCTCGAGACAAACACTGCGAAAGAGGAAGTGAGTTTAAGCTGCCACAGAAGGATTGCAAGAGATTTATTAACCTTCCCAAAAAGAATAATAAATTACAATTGTCATAATAAAAGGCTGTCAAGAACTATGCTGAGACAATAGGAAGACAACAGGAACAACTAAATGCATGGTTATGCAAACACTGCACAAGAGGAAGTGAATTTAAGCCACCACAGAAGGATTGCAGGAGACTAAAAACTTCCCAGAAGGAACGATAAATTGCAATTGCCATAATAAAAGGTTGTCAAGAACTATATTGAGACATAAAGAAGAGAATATAAACAACTAATTGCAAGTCAGTCCATATAACACACAAGAAAAACCATAAGTTTGAGTACAAACATATCGAAAAGGTTTTGTTTGCACAGGTTAATTTTTCATCTCAAGCATCAGGACGTACCAAGTGATCGTGCCACAGCAAGGAACGCTGAAACAATTAGCTGATGTATGAATGTCTTCTAAAAAGGTTTTCATGCTTTAGTTTAACAAACACACAAGAAATATCCAAATCATATAAATTTTAGTTTGCACACATCATAAAAATCGTAAATTGCATTCGACACAGCTGATCATTCGTAAGAAAATTCTACAATTGTTTCTGAAGTGATATGTTTGAAGCTCAATTTTCCTAATAGGATATGAGACAACAAAGTTCTTGAAATCTAACATAACTAATCCAAAGCTAAAACACATAGATATATGATCTAGGAACGTCAATACCTTATATCATCTCTCTACAAAACACAAAAGAACTGTCTTCATGGTGAAGACATGGTCTCTATAAAGAAAGGTATATGTCCAGTGTATCATGACATACTGTCTAGTAGTTGTAATCTATCAGTTAATATGGATTCTGGTTTGTCTTTCACGAATAGCTTATGGTTTCCTCTACTGTGACAACAACAATTTAAATTAACTTACAACTGTAGTTGTAGCTATCATTGTATAGTCTGCCCATCTTAGAAACCTTCTGGCTTGTCCTCTTGAAGAATGGTACAGACTTGAAGCAATACCCACACCGATCAAAGAATTAGCATATAATGCAGCATTCAGGTTCTTCCTGCAGGTTCAATCAACAAGTTCGAGGTACTGATCCAAACAAGGAAGTCCTACGGATTTATTCCTTGGAGAAACTTGCCTTGGAGCCTGAAGTCCGAGAACAATGAAAGGCAATGAAGTGATTACATTGGCAATGGTTTCAGCAATGTTCTGATCACCTACTACAAGAAAAAGACATTATTTACTTTCTATGAAGTGAAACATAAATTCTTTTCCTTTAAATAGTGAAGCGTAAAACATGTTCAGCATACCATGAAGGCTACAGTGAATCGGCCTCAAGTATGACGGTCTCTGCTGCCATATTCTTCTGAGAACAAGTAAAACGAGTCACTCTGCTTGCTCTGCAAGTATGATGTACCCAACCCGTTGCAGGCTGATGAAGTTTGCAGGTGCATTGGATCAGTGCATTTGCTATGACTCACCGAATTACCAATCGTCGGCTTGATCCAACAATCTCGGGCCCTTCGCAGGTCGAGAAGTCCAACTCCCCACAACGAAGTGAATCTTCTCTTCCATATGTTGACTGATCCACCAGCTGCACTCCACGAATCCCCTGTAGCAACCCACAGGGACCCGAAGGTCGATTTACACCCATACTCAATTTCAGCTCGCTCCCTCACCTGCAAAGATACTAATTTGTGATCATTATCTGCGAGTACAAAAGAAAGAAAAAAAAAAGGCACTTCGCATAAGAAATATACTCTTAAGCAAAGAAGAGCAAGTAAAAAAGAAGAGCAAATTAAAGATCTCATGCGCTCAACAATTTCAGCACTAACTTCACAAACCAATTCAAATGAGACTGAAAACCAGAACTAATGTTAGAAGAGATGTCTATATGAAATCAAAAACCTCCTTAGGAAGTATAGGATAATCAAAATAGTAGTAGCATCAATTATTATGAAAGCAAGAAGAAGAAGAAGAAGAAAGAGCCCACCTGGCCAGGAGCAGAGAGAAGGGGTGGCCACAGTCCAGCAAAATGGGATTGGTTTGGGCACGTATAAAAGAGAGAGGAGGGTCTCGAAGGAAACGATGGAAATGGATGCTGATTCCCGAGTATCTTTTCGTTTGGATACGAGCATATTCTATACGTGGAGCGAGAGAGCAGCATCCGTCACCCCAGGAAAGAATAAGCAACCACCCTCCTACCCTTTTATCAAGTTCCCCGTTGTCTACCTGCCTGTTGACTGGAGATTAACGTGGAGAACTCGTGGGACCCACCATGAGTACCACAAAGGAGTAGGTGTTATACGTAGAAACGACGTCCGACGAGAAGAAGAGCACAACCCTCACGCCATAGTGTAAGGTCGAATTTCCGGAAAAAACTCTTTTTGATTTTTTTGTTCCTATAAAGCGCATCTTATTTTCAGAATTCTCAGATAATATATATATATATTATTTTTCTTTCCTACAAACTATTCGTAGGATATACCAATCTAGTTATAATTTTTTATTATATTATAATATTTTAAATAATATTAGAAAATGTCATAGTATTTATATATATTTTTTTATAAAAAAATATTTATAGCGTTTTTACACTGCATTATAGTGCTTTTAGTAATACTAGAAAAATACTATAGCATAATATTTTTATTTTTAAAAATATTAAAAAAACACTATCACTCGGTATAAAAATACTATAATAAAAAATTATTGTAACTAAATCTGTTCACATATGAAGAAAAAAAAAAGAGAGAAAAAGGTAGGTGACTATAGATATTTTAGGTATTAAGTAAAAAATATATATATTATTAGAATTGATCGGAGGACACCAAAATATAATCCAAAAGCTTTAAGTTATTAAATTGTAAGTCAATTTTAATACATATAACTTGACTCTGTTTCAATTTTCTTCCCATACATAAATGATTTCTTAATTTACGATTATTCATAGTCTCCTAAATTACATGAGATCAGCCACCCACCAAAACTTTCAAGTAATTATATTTATTAATTTGTCGTTATTGACCTGAATAGTATTTTTTAATTCACGAAAATGTATTTTGAATAAACTATTGCTACATGTTTGGAATATTATCTGTTTATTCAGAAATTTTCAAGAATCTTTAGGTATTATTAACTTGAATAATATTTCTTAATCGATGAAAAATAGTTTTTGAATCTCATTGATCATATATCTATATCGAATAATTCAGGATATATTTTGAAATATGTTCACAAGATTTTATCTGAATCATACATTATTATTGAATTTTTGAATTTGAAAAATACTAGTTATTGGTATTTAATTCATGGAAAACATTTTTGTGTTCTGATAAATTATGTTTTTTTTTTAACTTTAGTTAAGTTATTCTAAAAATTTTTAGTTATAATATGATTTGTTTTAAAAAATTTCTTTTTTTATTAAAAAATTAAAATTAAATCGAAATCGAAATCAAAATTGATCTAACTTAGGTCTGACCTACTGGTAATTAGACCGGTGCAGGCCTAGCCAGCCATTACATATAACCTAGTTTGATTTGGGTGTGAAGTTAACTCGAACGTCGGCTTAATCCAAAGGGATCTCGAGCTTGTGGTGTGGGTTTGGCTAAAATATAATAGGCTTTTAAATTATTTATAAATTTAAATTCTTATATTTATGATGTTGATAGATTATTTATAAATTTTAAATTATTGAGTTTAATTTGTAAGTTTGATTATGATTACTCGATAAATGAGATTGATATGGACATGAGATAGGAGCTTTGGGCCTATTATGTCGCATGTAGTATCCATTAAATCGAAATTCCCATATGATTTCTCTAGTATGATATGTTATCATTAATGAATGTATATGGTAGCATCAGTCTTAAGATTAACTTGAGATATAAGATCGATATAATAATAGGACCTTGATGATTCCTATCAACTATATGTGAGTGGAGAACGATTTCCTTCATGGATTAATATGCTATTAGCTAGACGATTGCTTTAATATGCTATTTTGGGAGTAATGCGCTCCAATTTGACGAGCGAAAGAAATCAATCCATGTTGAAAATAAAAAATTAAATCAAAATTGAAATTGATCGGACTAAGGTCTGACCCGAGTTCAATTAGGTTGGTCGTTGGTATGGATTTGGATCTAGGTTGGTCGATAGCTCATCGATTTTGAGTTCGGGCTCAATTGCTCCTTAAATTAGATTTGAATCAAAACAGTTTGATCCATTTTGATCGGGTCAAGGTGATTCTGATCCGATCTAGATCAATTCAAACTTGTTCTGCTCGATCCGATCTACGTAAGTTCAATTAGGTTTTGACTGAATTAAGTTTGGTTCAGATCAATTGGATCGATTCAACTAGTGTTCAGGACAATTAAGAATTAATTATGGTATGATTTCTTATATTCACGATGTCGATAGATTATTTATGAATTTTAAATTATCGAGGCTAATTTATAAGTTTGATTATGATTACTTGATAAATGAATAATCTAATGAAATTGATCTAGATATGAGATCTTCACTGGTTATGTCTTACATAACAGATCAAATCCCTCGTATAATCCTTCCGGTACGAATGTACGTGATAGTACGAGTCCTAAAACCAACTTGAGATATGAGATTGACATGCTATGATATCAAATATGGTAGCTAGATAGTTAGTTCATCTGTTTTGAAACAAATTTTGACATGTGAAAAATATCATTTCATCTTTTGTTGTGAATGAATTCACGAGAAATAACATATTTATTTGTTGTTGAGAGTAAGTATGTTCCATCGAATCGAATCGAATGTGATACATTCGATAAAGGTTTCATCGGAGCCATGTCCTCTCAAAATATTTAATTAAATCATTAACATATCATATTATAAAATTATCAGTATTTTATATATAAACATCAATCAATCAATCAATCATAAATAATATTATAAAAGCAAAAAAGAAAAGCAAAAAAAAAAACTATCTAACACACCTGACATTACCTAAGACATCTCTCTTGGGGACGATGGATCAACTAAAAAATAAAAATTGAAGCAATTATAAGATATAATCGGGTAAAGCATTTTCCAACACATCCTATGTCAGCATGTGCTAATCATCAACATCTTATCTTGGAAGACACATATGTCGTACTTTCTTCCTTCTTGTGCATGCATTGCACTTCTTTTCTTCATTAATTGACAAGCACGAAGAGGAAAAAGTTCTTTAATTGACAAGTATGAAGAGGAAAAATAATAAGACAAGCAGAACAAAGAGGAAACAAAGGAGCTTTGAGATTGAATTGTTGGCTCTGATATCAAACTTATTAACTGTTGACTTTTCTATCAGATTTTCATGGAAAAAAAAAAGAAAGTAGAAGAGACTATGAGTACTTATAATCTATAATATTTTGGATTGACTGAAGAGCACATATTTATATTGATTAAAGATAATATATATATATATATATATAAATTTATCATATCCCAATAAATATTTCATTCTCATATATTTATTTAAATCTATTTTTTTCTTTTATTTTATCTAATCCTAATCATTTGAATTAATTTTATCACACTTAATTCAAAATAATTGAAATTAAAAGTTATCTTCGGAATAAAATTTTTCTGTCATCAAAGTTTTTGTGAAGATATCGGTAAATTGATATTCGGTATTACAATAATTCATTTGAATTTTTTTTATTAATGAATTTCATAGATTTATAAGTTTTTATAATCTTTGGAGGGTTTAAAGTCATTCTTTTGAAGTTTTAATTAATTTTCTAAAGAGTTTGAGTGCATCCCTTCTTTCACATTAAACTTTTACCCGCACTTTATGCGTAAATGCTTTACACTGCATGTCTTTTCTAGGTTTACCACGTTTATTTGTTTCAAGACAAAAAGTGGCCTCAATTGCTTCTCTAATAATTCAGCTTTCTCGAGGTTGGTGTGAGTTGCAATTGTTGGGCTGACAGTCCGTATGGTCAGAGCAAGGTGGACTTTATCAACCCATAGTTCATCCCCTTTAATTTAATCATAGATTAAAAGTTAGAGGGTACGAAATTTTGGTTAGATCAAATCTATAATAGATTATTGCTATGATTACTTGGGGATAATTTAGATATTATGCACAGTGACATGATCCTTATATCCAAGTTATTCTCTTGTGATTGTTGCTAGGATTTTGAGCAAGAGATTAAGATTTATATATTTATTATTTTTATAGTATATTATTTCTAGTTTTTTCCATGATTTTTATCCTATACATTGAATGATTTTTTCACTATATCTTGGTATTCTATTTGATTGTGATTCCATTTAATTCCGCTAGTCTGTTATTATTTGTTCATATGCAAAAAATTATTTCTCTTTATATCTCATCAGTAGTCATTACGAGACCCAATAAAGCTTCAATATTCACATGACTCTCGACTAGTTTTTTATATAACTGGAAGGCTTCTTCCTCATGTCCATGATCGAGCTTATAAGATGCAGCTTCCTGCGTTATCAAATCAAGTTTATTTTCTTCGATCATGACATTCTTCCACCATTCAATTGCAAAGTTGAGTACTGCATTAGCACCACCAAAGATACGAGTGTACGCCATTCTACCACCTATGGGCTACGAGTGTCGCAACAATTGCAAACATGTTTTGGATATTAATAACCTTTGATAGGGACTCATCAAAGATCTGAAAACGCCTAGCGGCATAATTAATTTGAGCATAGGCAACATCGATCCATTCTTA